TGCCTAAAACTATTTTATATTATATAATATGTAATATTATAATATAATATAGCATATATTAACATATAGCTTTATATATATGTGTGTGTGTGTATGTGTTATACAATATAGTTGAGGCGGGTTTGGGGTTGGGGTTGGGTGGGTGGATTACGTACTCATTGCTTACCTCCAACCTTTCGGATTCATTTGTGGCTGTCCTTGTGTACATTGATGATCAAATTATCACTGGGAATGATGTTGCCCACATTTCTGATCTGAAGACATATCTTCATGGCTGCTTTCATCTCAAAGATTTTGGGCCCCTCCACTATTTTGTTGGCCTTGAGGTCGTACGGTCCAATTTTGGAATTTTTGTGCGTCAATATAAGTATGCCATGGACATTATCACTGAAAGCTGCTCTTCGTGTTGTATGCTACATCAAAGCAGCTCCAGCTCAAGGGATTTTTTTTTTTTTTTGCTTCATCTGCTGATTGCACTCTTACAGGTTACTATTATTCTGATTGGGCCACATGGCCTCTTACACGAAGATCAACTATAGGATATGTCACCATGCTTACCTCTCTCCTATCATGGAAAACAAAGAAACAAGTCACTGTTTCTCGATCTTCAGCAAAAACCGAGTACCATGCCTTGGCCATGGCTACAAGTGAATTAGTATGGCTCAAGTGCATTCTTCGTGACCTTGGTCTTTCCTTGTAGCAACCTATTCAACTTCATCGCGATGGTCAGACAACTATCCACATTGTAAGAAATCTTGTCTTTAATGAGTGGACGAAGCACATTGACATTGACTGCCATTTTGTTGGGGAACACATCCAGAAAAAAAGACATCCAGCTATGTCACCTTTTCACTAAGTCTCAGCCGGTTGATATATTTACTAAAGCCCTAGGGGCTGACCAATTTCAATTTCTTGTATGCAAGTTGGGTGTCACTCTATCCCCAACTTGAGGGGGGGGGGTATTCTAAAATATTCGAATTGTTAGTTGGTAATAACTAAGTTGACGTGCCAGTACAAGTTGGCCAAGTGGGTTAACTTAAATGTATATAATTCACACACACGAATACTACAATTTTCATCTCAGTTTCTTTCAAGCTTTGTTACATTTATCTGGTTTTGTTGAATCAATCAACTGGTGCAGTTTGGAGAACATTGAAAATGAATAAAATCTTGCTTTTTATAGGCTGCCAACCTCATCTAACTAAATTGAATCATTTGCAGGAAAATCAGGAAGAAGAAAGTTATTTTCACACTGTTGTCAGTTGTATTTCCCAGTCATTGAAGACTCTCATCATTAATAGATCTTATGATGAAGTTGCAATATGCTTCTTCAACACTGTAAGATGTCATTACTTTCTTCAATGATAAAACTTTCACCACTTATTTGTTTAAGATTATTTAAATGCAACCAAGAGCCAACCAAGAGCTTGGTTGTCATCTGATCAATGATCTTTGAGAAATGTATCTTTACTATACACCTTCTTAGAAATTTAGCTTGCGACATTCGACTATACGCACAGATGCTCACTTGGAACTCTGCTTTAGATAATCTCTCCCATTCAAAAGTGTAAGGCATGAAGTGCATGATTGAGGCTGTCAACCAGATAGGGATTCTTCAAGATTGGCAATCTATTGACTCACTTGTGCTACATTTTTTAAATTTGCATTTATAGAGAGTCATGGTGAAGTTCCTGAATAGTGAAGACAAAAAGAAGTGAAGAAATGATTATGTCATAGTCATATAAAATGACCAAGAAGAAATGAATCTCTAAGATAGCCAATCTGATTTAGAGACATACATAACTTTAATCTTGTCAAGTCTATTCTCTTAAGCATGCATTAGAAGAGAAACATAGTTAAATCTATTTCTGTAGACAAATTCATAATAATTACTTGAAAGAATGCTAGGAAGTCCCTTTATATGCATATATATTTGTTGTGTTTATATATCATTTCTTGTATTAGTAAAACAAGTCCAAAGAAGAGTAAAAAAGATAAGTTTAAGAGTAGAAAAGAGGAAGAAAAAGAGTGGAAGTGTGGAACAAATGCAAGAAGAGAGGAAGAAAAAGGGCTTGGGTGATCAATTGATTTGTTCAATCCCCAACTCCCTTTAATCTATTTTATTAACTTAATGTTAATGAGAGTAAATTGTAGAAATATCCCTTATAGGGTGGCAATAAAAAAGAAAGAAAATAAAACATTTAGGTCCACTACTCCTACGGTCCAATACAATGAATATCTACTAAATAAAAGAAACATAAATAAACCCAAAAAGAGCCCAAACTGATAGCTCAACGCTTCCCCTCAAGCTGAGCATAGATTTCAATCATGCGCAGCTTGGTTACATATTACTCCATAATTTGACATTAGCCATAGGAGCAAATGTCTCTTGATAATCAATGCCATAAGTTTGAGTATATCCTTTCGCCACTACCCGAGCTTTATATCTCTCAATTGAACCATCAACCCTGTGTTTTATAGTGTACAATAGTTGTACACCCACTTGCATTCCATAGGAACTTTGTCCTTGGGAAGAGGAATTGTTTCCCAAGTCTTCTTCTTTATGAGAGCCTCCATTTCCTAGTTCATAACATCCTTCCACTAGGGCGAGTGCATTGGCTTTGTGACATTGCGAGGAATGGACATAGAAGAAATAACAGTGGTATAGGAAAAGTAGGATGGTGAGAGGGCATCATAAGAAACATAATTATTAATTGGATAGTACATTTTCTTTTTCCCTTCCGAATAGCAATAGGAAGATCAAGACCAGAATTCAAGACATTGGTTTCAGGAACATGAGGCTTAGAATCATCAAGGGTCACAAGTTCAGGATTACTTGAGTCCATGATATCGGATTGTGGTGGACATACAGTTTCAGGAGCAACCCTCTTCCCTTGTCTGATGAAGCACTACTGCCAAGACTGAGGTTGATACATAGGAGGGGAAGGAGTTGGATAGGAATATTATCATTACAATTAGGGGAAGGAGATGGATAAGATGCAGGAGTTGGAATAGGTAAACAAAAAGGAGTCCGATCTTCATTAATATTCTCCCCTTGAAGAGAAGGACAAGACGCCTAAAAGAAAGTGGTGGATTCAAGGAAGATGGCATCCTTGGAAACATATCTTCTACTAGAATGAGGACCGTAGATTTTATAGCCCTCCTGGATTGAAGAATAACCAAGAAAAACACATTTAATAGATGACATTGAGAGGAATACAGAGGACTGGATCATTAGGGAAGAGGAGTTGATGAGGAGATTGAAGATGAAGAGTCCTAGAAGGAAGTTTGTTTATGAGGTATATAATCATTTCATGTGCATCTCCCTAGAAATAAGTTGGAATATGCATCTGGAGCAGTAAGCCTTGAGCAACTTTAGTCACATGTCTTTTCTCTTCTCTTTCTATTCATCTTTTACATCTTCATTGTTGAACTTCGACAAAATAACAAGTGCTTTTTATTGTGGAATTTAACATTCGATTTTCTAGAGTACAGTGGAATCTGAATGTTATTTTTTGTTTAGACAATTTTATTGTATAATCTTCTCTGGCTTCTTTTCGCATATACAATTCAAAATATCCTTGTAGACATTTCTCTGTCATTACGTTGCTCTGGAATCTTAACCATTGGGTATAGCTTGTTTTTTGAATTAGACTCATCCATTGAGCATTATTTTTCTATACTCGTGGGATTAATTCTTGCACTTTTTATGCTTTTGCAGAGAGAGAAGAAAAACATGCAGGATTTAAATGGTGTTTTTGTATTTAATGTTGCAGAACGAGAATGTCTTGATAAGCCAACAGCAAGGCTTATAAAAGAGTTCAGTCATATAGAGGGTAAGTCTCATGGAATGATTGGTGTTGAGATCATTATTTGATTGTTGTGTTGTTTATCTTTGGTATTGACTATATCAGGTTTCTATTTGCTTTTATTAATATTTTATATTCTGCCACCCAGGGGTATTTATGTTTTTTTTCCTTGCAACTTAATATCACATATAAATAGAGAAAAAAGGCTGCTGCCTAAGATCTTTTTGGTAGTCCTCATATTTGTCTTTGTCTCTCATCTTTTATCTCTATCTTCTAATATCTTATTAATATATTTCTTTGGTTTTTCCCTTTAACCTACAATATTAATTTTGGTTTTCTATCCAAGTTGGTATTAGAGCAACCAAGAGAGTTCTAGGGTGAAGATCATCTAGTTTTAGGACAAGAGAATTGCATGAGAATTTGAAGAGACTGGTCACTTGTGATTTAACACACAATAAATCCGCCAAACTTAATTCAAAAAGTGCAGAAGAATGAGAAAAGTTGCAGCAATGAAGAAGGAAGAAGAAGGGAAGTGAGAGTAGAGAGAGAATTGAAAAAAACAACCAGATTGTGGGTCCTAGGGTGGGAACCCACTAATATTTGTGTTAACTTCTTAATACACAAGAAAAGACCATTATGTCCTTAGGTTGGCAGGGACAGAATGCGAACAAAGAAAAATAAAAAACACAATAGGGCACAAGGCCCATTAACATACTAATAGCCCACTTAATAAATCAACACAATACATAACAACAGCCCATCAAGAGTTTGATCTCTCAACACTCCCTTTTAAGCTGGGCATATAGATTAATCATGCCCAACTTGCTAATGCACTGATCAAACTTTTCCTTGTTGAGCCTCTTGGTGAACACATCTACCTTTTGCTTGTTTGTCTTAGCATAAGGAAGAAACATCTCTAGAAAGTCACATTTCCTGATAAAATATCGGGCAGCTTCAATATGCTTGGTTTTGTCATGTTGTACTGGATTGTGGGCAACATTAATAGTGGCTTTGGTGAGGATGAAATTGTGGATGAAGATTGAGCCTGTCTGCCAGGTTTTTAGCTGAAGTCCGGTTTAGTTCGAGTCTTTGGTGTGTAATTGCGTGTTTGTTTTTTCAGGTGTTGTTAAACGGGTAATGTCGTTTGTTTGTTGGGTCAGTTAGTTGTTCTCTCCTTTCGGGTGATATCTTATCATCTTCCTGCTGCTGTATTTCTTTTTCCTTTTAATAAAATTTTCCTTTGACTCTTCAAAAAAAAAAAAAATAGTGGCTTCATTATCACAGTACAAATTGAAGGTTTTTCATAATCAATCCCAAGCTCCTCTAGCCAAAGATTGAACCCATAACATCTTTGAGATACCATGTGTCATAGCCTGGTACTTCGCTTCAGCATTACTGCATTAGACCATGTCATAACATACGATTTCTTACTGCAAGATATCAAATTGCTTTCAACAAGAGTACAATAACTTGAAGTTGACCTTTTGTCATCCATGCAACCAGCCCAATTTGCATCAGTAAACCCTTCAATCCTCATGTGATCATGGTTAGAGAAAAGAATGCTACGACCATGTGATCTTGCCTTAAGGTAAGCAAGATTTCTTTCTGCTATAGCTAAACAAATATTGCTGGGAGAATGAATATATTGACTGATAAAACTGACAACATAAGAAATATTTATCCAAGTCATACATAGATACAATAAACAATAGTTAGCCAACTTAACCCTGAAATCTCCCCCTTTCCTAAGTAGGTTGTCCACCTGTAGCAGAAAGCCTATGGTTTGGATCAATAGGAGTATCCACAGGCATAATACCAAGCTGTCCTATCATCTTAAGCAAATCAAGCACATACTTGCATTGAGAAACAAAGAACCCATGCTTTGATCTTGCCACTTCAATCTCTAAGTTCTTATCTATCCTAGGTCTTTAACCTCAAACTCTTTCCCCCAAAACTGCTTCACCTTAGCAATGTCAAAGATATTATTGCCGTAGCAGAATCCTTTGCCACTGGTGAAGTAGTATGCCTTGGTGACATTGAGTGGAACCATATCCCTCCCTGCACCAGTGGTCCAATTATGAATAGGATGGTTCTCATTGTACGTCTCGTAGTTTGTCTTGTTCACTTCTAGCATGTTCATTTGGTTCCTGTTGTACACAAAAACTGTGAGCATGGGAAGTGCAGGACTAGGTTAGTTAATAATGGAATAGCTCGAATCAAAATCACTAATAATTTGAAAGAAAATGGCCCAACAAATAGTGTTTTTTCATGGTTTTTTTATTTGGAGAGCACAGATTTTCATGGGTGGGTAAATCGAGCTTGGACGGTTGAATTAAAATGCCAGACCTCTATGGTGAGACCATGAGAAGTGGTGGTGAGGAAGGCAGTCGAACAATTTGAACAGAATAGAAGGCAGGAAAGCAATAAGAAGACTGTAGTTGGGGGGGGGGGGAAATGGGAGGAAGGCAAAGGAGAGGAGACTGGCATCATTGATGAAGAGTGAAGTGTTTTCTGCTTTTGGTTCATGGGCTTAGCTTGTGTGCTCTTGCGGTTGTTGCAATTTTGGGTTTTGTCTTTATGTTTCTTTTGGGGTGGTTTGTTCTTGTAAAATTTTTGGAGGGGTGTTGGGTTGGGATTTGGGTGAAAGTCTCATAGGAAATTGTTGTTCCTTAGCTTTATGTTGAGGTGTTCTCTCAACACCTATCTAGGTTGTAAGTGCTTTTTCTTTTAATGAATTTTCTTTTTACTTAAAAAAATGTGCAAATGATACTATTATTTTCTGTGAAGGAGGTGATGTTAGGTGGATCCAGAATTTGAAAACGGTGGTCCAACGTTTTGAGAAAATGTCAAATTTAAAGGTCTATCTTGATAAGAGCTCTTGTGGCCTATGGGGTGAATATGGAACAAAGAGAGATCTCAAATGTGCTGAAGTCCTAGGTTGTTTAGTGTGTCAATGGCCTATGACCTATTTGGGGCTCCCTTTGGGCAATAATTCGAGGAATGCTAAATTTTGGAACTCAATGATTGAGAGATTGACTAGAAGGTTGGCCTCTTAGAAGAAAAGCTATTTGTCTTTGGGGGTAGGATTACATTGATTAGGTCAATGTTGATCAACTTATTGGTGTACTATAAAGGAATATGGTTCTATTGGTTGCTCCATATAAATCTCCTCAAGAAGATCACCATGTAAGAAGGCATTCTTGATGTCAAGCTGAAATAGGGCCCAATAAGTACTTGATAATGTACTCGATTTTGGCAACAGGAGAGAGTTTCTGTAGAGTCTACTATATACAATTGTGAGTAACCTTTAGCAACCAAATGAGCCTTCAACCTTTCTATCTTGCCATCTGGTAAGTACTTGATAGTGTACACCCACTTACATCCTACAACATGCTTACTAGGAGGGAGAGTGGTAAGTGCCCATGTGTGATTATGTGCAAATGCAGATAATTCCTCTTTCATTACTTGACGCCTCCTTGGGGAGGTAATAACTTCCTAGACATTCTTAGGGATAAAAACAAAGGATAAAAGGGAAACAAATTGGCATTGGAAGCAAAATGGTGAGAAATAGAAACATAATTGGAAATGGGATGAGAAGTTCAATTATGTTTACCTTTGTATAATGCAATGGGGAGATCAAGGTTAGAAGGAGGAGAAACAATTGCATGATTCGTTGACGGAGAAGGGACTGGAGGAGGACCTGTTGCTCGTCTGTGAGTATACACTTTCATAATTAGTGGTTGTTCAGTAGTAACCTGCATTGGAGGAGATGAAGTTTGGACACAACTGGAATTGTAGGAATGGGGTCCTCAATTGGAACTAGAAGAGGAAACAAGGAGGTGAGGGAGGAACATCAAGACTAGTAAAGAAAGGAGCCGATTCAAAGAAAGTGACATTTTGGACAAACAAATGAACGTTAGGAATTGGGATCATAGCATTTATACCCTTTCTAGGTTCTAGAATAGCCAAGAAAGATACATTTTGTAGCATGTGCATCCAACTTATCCATCACAGGCCCAGATTATGAATGAAACATACACAACCAAAAACTCTAGGAGTAAGAGGAAAAGAAGATAGAGTAGGAAACAAAATTGACAAAGGAGAATGATCTTCAAGTATAGAAATGGGCATTTGATTAATGAGAAAACAAGATGTAAGTACAACATCACTCCAAAACCGTTTGGGAACATTCGTATTGTGCATTATGGATTTAGCAGTTTCAAGTAAATGGTGGTTCTTTTGTTCAACTACTCCATTCTATTGTGGTGTGTATGTACAAGAAGTTTGACGAATTACACCGTATTGTTCCAAATATTGCTGAAGAGGTGTAGACAAATACTCTTTGCCATTATCGGAATGAAGAATTTTAATGTGAAAACCAAATTGAGTGTGAATTTTAGCATGAAACTTTTGGAAAATTGAAAGTAATTCACTTCTTTTATAAGATAAAGCCAATGTCATCCTTGAATGACCATCAACCAAATTACAAAGTACTTGTAACTGTTATATGATACAGTTTTATTTGGACCGCAAACATCTGAATGAACCAAGGAAAAAGGACTCAAAACTCGACTATCAACTCTAAGATTGAAGGGAAAATCACACTCTCCCAGCCGACCACCTTCTTATTTATATGTTTTGGACTTTAATGTACAAAGACTCTTATGTTCTTGATTAAGTATGGGCCACATAACTTAAACTGAGATAAAAGAGACAAAGCAACTATTAATAACGGAACATAAAGACTAAAATACCCTCTGGGCTGCCGATTCTAACAACTTGCATCCTCACTTAGTAGGGTTTGGCAATATCTAATGGCTTAGAATAAGTCTCTTCATTCCTTTGCAGTCTTCTTCAATTCTTCCATATAAAGTTTCTACTGATATGTGATTTCATAGGCCATAGAGTTTATTAACCACGGTATCACCATATAGTTTTTCTGTATCCACTTAAGGTGCTGAGGATCTGAAGCAGTTGGTTCTTTAACTTCTTAAATATACCCCAGTTTTCATCTTCCACCTAGTCCA